AGGTCAGTTATTACTCATCTCTGAATTTTATTGTCAATGTTAAAAATAAGGTTTTTGTTCTATTATTTTTTTCCAGGAATTGATTTTAAGTTAATGGATCTATAATTCTCTGGCACTGCTTTCTACCCTTTTCAATAAGCAGTAGGATAGGAACCATTTGTGCAATTTCCAGTTCTTTCAGAATCTCATCTGCACTCTGCAAGGACTGAAAGATGGCTATTAACATTGCATGACATTGCATCAGACAGCCCTTAACTACTCTACATTAACCAAGTGCCCTGTGGTTGAATATATCTGACTCCATTATTCATTTTCTGCTAGAGGCCAAGGCCTTTTCTTGTCCCTGCTAGCAATTATGCTAACTGTGACCAGTATTTTCTTTAGCGAAGATTAATGCATTGTTTTTATGTGTGTTTAGCCATGAACATTTGGAAGTCTGCTTGTCACAATTACCTCTCAAATCCCGAATGATCTGTGAACTCTTAACTGTTCCAGAAGGAAAAAGTGAATTCTTTTAGGCCCGGTGATCATTTGCACAATTTAATTCTTGAAGGTGAGAGAGAGTGTGCCTATCTTAATGATGCAGGATATGTGCTTCTGTGTGTGTCATTGGTCATCAACACCCAAAATGTGGCAGTAGGGCTGTCTCTTCCGGTTTCTTTCTCAGGAAAAAAAAATTATCCTATATTCTATCTTAAGTGTGTCTTTTTTTGTTATTTTTAAGAGAGGGGAATTGACAGCAGAGACAAATATTTATATTCAGATTAGGGAAGGATTTGCTATAGTGCTTGTTTTCTTGCTGTAATTTGCTGTAGTAAGCCAAAGAGATGAGATAATAATGTGTATTTGTACATGAGAAATACAGGATATTGCCAAAAGAGAAAGCATCTTTAAAGTTAAAATTAATAGTTTGGTTTTTCATTTAACTTCAAATAGTTTGCTTTATTGCCCAGAAAAGTTAGGAAATATCTTTGGTGCGGGTGAGCACTTCAAAAGAGGAACTGTTCACAGCAATGATGTTGCCCTGGACAGTGTTGTCCCTGTGAATATGTGACAAGCACAGTGTCCCTCGGGTTATGAAATGGCTCATACGTGGCAACTTCATTGCCTCAGGCCGGCAATCTGCACTCAAGCCAAGCTCTGCTTGCTTTGCAGTCCCATGTGCTGTGGCAGTGTGCAGTGTCAGAGCCTTTGGAGGAGGAACGCTGGTTATCTGCTCTACCTGATGTAAATGGAGATTGAAAAAAAACATCTTCAGAAATACGCCATGATGCGTTTAAATCTGTGAGCACAGATCATATCCAAACTGAAAACATGAGAACAACAGTACAGGAGTAGACTAGAAGCCCATCCAACCCGATATCTTGTCTTTAGCAGGAGCAAGATAACTATAAGAACAGGCCTTATATTGTACTTACATATCCTTTGAGCTTTTTGCTCCGATCATTTTTTTTTAATAGTGGCTATGTGTAGATTGCTGTGGATTTGCAAGTATTATAGTTTGCTCACTTGCAAGTTACCTTTTTTTTTTCTCTGTATATTATATAACAAAGCTGTTGTCATATATATACAAAAGATGCAACTATCCGGTGTCCATTTTGCATCTGAATCAATTTAATAAACAGTGGGGTTTATTTTAACAGTAGCTGCTTGTTTGTCAAGACCAACAGACATGGTGGAGAGGAGGCAACAAGAATTATTATCCGTTGGTCTCAGCACCATGGTCTCATTCATGGGGGAAAAAATGCACTAAGTTCGGAATTCAAAAATGGGAAGACTAGAGAAAATTAGGAGTGGATAGACTCCTCTGAGCAGTTCTTTTGACTGTGGGATTCTAATATACTGATTAACTTGAGTAAAAATCTTGCTTGGTTGTAGTGCCTAGTTGGTAATCTGATCCCGCAGCATTTAAGGTGTAAAAAACTTGTAATGTTTCACTTTGGCAATAACTTGATAGTATGTTAGGTTGGGGTTCAGGAACTTCGGGGTTAAGACTGAGAGTGCATAATGAATGTGGCCCAAATGGAATTTTGAAGTTTATAATACAGAAAAAAAAAAGTTTCCTTTAAAAAAAAAAACACAGTTTAGTTGAAAGATCTGTTTTATATTTATAATTTACAGAATTCACAAAGGATTTTCAGTTTTAACACTGCTCAGTCATCACAACATTGCTGGTAGGTGCTGTCTTGTGGTTTGTAATTCTCCTTTCTGATAAAGCACATCTGGAGATAAATGTTCCTGCCAGACATAAACATGGCAAGCTGAAGAGTGAATCACACAAAATTATTGAAGTATTTTTCAAATCAGCAACTGCTTTTGTCTCTTTCCATGTTTAACTGAAAAACTGAAGATCATCAAGAGATAATGGGTCTGGGAAGGAGAGGAAAAAAATCTATGTCTATTTCTCTAAATTTTCAATACCTTTTCATATTCTGAAACCCAGTAATTGACTAAAGGAATGACTAAACCACGTAGGAGAGTTAAGCACATGGCATGAGAGCTGAAGTAGCATTCAAGTCATGGGCAGATTGGAGTCTGAACGAAGGACTAGATTTATGCTAATCGAATGTCCCAGAGGATGGATTTCTATAAATAACATCATGTAAATCCTAGTGGATTCTGTATGGGCCAAGTGCATGTGGCGTGAAAGAACTGTAGCTTGTCCTGCACTGTCTCTTATTCTACTATCTCATATGAAATCTTGGTTTTATCTGCACTGTTTCTGGTAAATGGTGGTGTCCCATTCATCTCCCCATGGAATCTAGAGGAGGTCAAGCAGAAGCAAGGGATTAAATGTGAACTTGCGATGCTGCCCCATGGTGAAAACAGGAGGTGATTTATCTCTACTGAAATTTGGCAGAGATATCATTCTCATGCATTTATCAGTTCACCTCTAATCAAGCAAATCGGCAAAAGCTCTGTATAGTGTAGTCGAAGGCTCTAAGTTTCCTGCATGTCCTGAATTTCACTCAGGAGTAAATCACAGAATCCCAGAATGGTTGAGGTTGGAAGGGACCTCTAGAGATCATCTAGTCCAGCCCCTCTGCTCCAGCAGGGACACCTAGAGCACATGGCACAGGGTCACATCCTAGACGGGTTTTAAAGACCTCCAGAGAAGGAGACTCCACAGCCACTCTGGGCAGCCTGTTCCAGGGCTCTGTCACTCTCAAAGGAAAGAAGTTCTTCCTCATATGCAAATGGAACTTCCTGTGTTTAAATTTGTACCCATTACCCCTTGTCCTGTCATTGGTTGCCACCAAGAAGTGTTTGGCCCCATTTTCTTTACATTCTCTCCTCAGGTTTTATGCATATTTATAAGATCACTCCTCAGGCTAAGCAGGCTTAGCTCACTTAGTCCAGCTGGGACACAATTAGCAATGGCACTTTAAGATACCACTACTTTTGGCCTTTTTCCCATCTTCCCTCCCTTTTGCAGAAGTGCAGGACTAAGGGTAGTACACAGTGTTTGCTCATGCCTCAGCTCTTCCAGTTCAAAGGAGTGTGTCTTTGTTACGGGTAGAGCCCCATCTTCCCCCTTACTGTCTGTTTGGGGGCATCACAACTCATTTGATGTCAGTACTGTGAGGCTGCTGGCCTTGAGCAGTGGTAGAAGAAAGGAGAGATGGAATAAGGACAATGTGGCAGTAATACCACAGGATAACTTCAGACCCAATGTACAGCAGAGGATCTCTGCTTCCAGTGTTTCACCTGGTAAACGTAGAGGCAAATTGTCTAAGGTTTCTATTCTCAAATAATGAGCAAATGTGTAACAGGAAAAAAAAAATGACTGACTTCTCTCTTCAAAACTTAAATGTTTTTTTGACTGTATGTCACTGCTGTGACATAGAGCCAGAACATTGTCGTGCGGCTTATTTACACTGGAGGAAGGGGATTGGGCACTGGAGGACGAATGAGAACCTTTTATCTGGTTCCAGTTTGCACCCCTGCCAAAGCACTACCTACAACGAGTTTCAGATTTGTCACTTGGACGCTGACAACTTTGGATTTGCGTGCTGTGTCTTGGCGACATGCTGAAACAAGCAGGGACTTGGATGTGTAAATCCTGGCATCTGCACCCACGGGCAATTGCTGCTACAGGACTGCGAGTACACATTTCTGAGGATACAAAAATATAGGCAATGTTATCTGAGAACTTGTTTTAATAAGAGCAAGCCTGAAACCCTATCTGACTTATAAATTCAGCTCTGTTGCTTATAGACTGGTATTTCTAACAGGAAGGAGGGCCAGGAAAGCCTAGAGTTTATAATTAGTCAAATGTCCATAAGACCTGCAAGAGCAAAGGCCCCTGTAAATGTTCTGTGTGGGAAATGTGAGCTAGCAAACTTTTTTTTTTTTTTTTAAGTTGGGCTGGGATATTTTGGGTAGAATTTGGAAGGACAAGAAAAAAAATTAACTTTACCGCCATTAGCAATACTTGGGTGGTGGTGCTGAGTTTAGTATAGTTCAGTTTCTGGGAAAGTGATAAAATCAACAGAAACAGTAAATTATTAAGTTTTCACTTATAGGAGATGTAATTTAGAAATGTGTTATAGCATAGAATAAGAAACACAGCAAACGTGATGAGTCTAACCTGTGAAAATAAAATTTTAATTACTGCTATATCATTTCAAAAGCAGATTTATTGCCTCTTATACGTGTGATGGTCAAGAAAGTTCTGGTAGTGCTTAGGTTGTCCCCCTTCCTCGAAGAAATGTTTGACTTCTTTGTAAACTGTGTTAATTTTATTTAGGTGAGAACTGGAATGTATTTTTTAATGCTGTGCATCAGGCACAAATTGTTCTAAAGAACTGAATTTCAGGAAAGTTTTCTAATCTCCAGTGGGTAAATGCTGATCTCCTTTCTAGTAGTTGTTTCCTGTGTGCTGCTGTGGGACCAGGGTTTGGACTAAATGAGCTGCAGAACTCACCACCTTTATTCTGTTACAGAGGAAAAAGACCTAACACCTAAATTCAATTTTTTTTTCCCTCTTTCCAGGTGAAATGGAAATTCCAGATTCAAATGACCCCCTAGGTCAAGTGGATGGCCTTGAGAGACCAATTCCAACTCCCAAAGGTAAAATTAATCATAGTTCCAATACCTTTCATTTCAAGCATACTTCAGAAAGCACCAGCAAAATCCTCTTGCTGTACATTTGCTTGATTTACCTGTAAATAAGTGCGTGTGAGAAAGGTAACTTCATTCCACTTCATAACCTTAACTCTTAAGCAGGGATATGGACAGGTTTCAGGAATCTATAAAAATTATTTTTTAAACACAGAGTCACAAAATAGTTAAGGTTGGAAGGGACCTCTAGAGATCATGTAGTTGAACTCATTATTTTGAACTATTGTCCTCTGTTACGGGATTACATTTAAACCACACACTTAATTCCGTCAGCAGTATTGCAGGCTATAGCCGTTTTATTCTCTCCTCTATCCACACAACTACCCACTACTTTTGATGGAGAGGCTCCACATTTAAGGTAGTCCCTTAAGGGTAGTCCCATTCTGCTCTTTTGTCATGTCTGAACTTTTAAGACTGCAGATATGAAAGAAAATGATTTTTTAATATGAAATTGCTTGGTTAAATTCTTGCCCAGGAAGGAGTCGCAGTTATTTCCTCTTTTTATGCAGGGCCACAGGCAATACCTGTCTGAGGAAGTAATTAATCACATCTCAAGCATTTCTACATCATAAGGGTTTTGTATTTCCTTCAGAAAAAAAGAGATCCTTGTTCTTATATGACTCACTGCAATAGAATCACTTGCTCATTTCCAGCAGTTCAGAAATGGGCTGCATGGTGTAGAAATGGGCTCGTTTTCCTCCCCTCTTGCATTTGTGGTTACAGAATTCTTTTAAGTAAGCAAAAATTCTTTGGTTCATATTTTTAATTTCTTTGGTTTGAACCTTAACATGTGTGTTTCTGTATCATACCACAATTGCATGAAGATTTTGTTTGGAGAAACATTACATATTTCTGTTTAGGGCTTTGTGTGTGCTAAGAGATCCTTAAAAAGAGTCCTATAGCTTCTCACATCACATCATCCTGCTTTTGTTTTTTGAGGAAAGTTTGACTTCTTTCTTTTCTCCTCGATGGCAGACTTAATGCAAAATAGGCTTGAAAATAATATTAAGTAAGTCTTAATAGTACCAAAAATTAGATTAATTTTAAAAGATCTAAATATAAAAAGATCAGCATCTCTTCCAAATCCTCCAGCAGTCTAGAAAAATGATTCTATCTCTAAAGAAGTAATAAGATTAAGCATGATATTATTAGTCATGTGGATTTAATAAAAAATTGTACATCTCTTCCTTCCAACGAACCCAGCCTTCTAAAGTTGATGGGATAGGACCATGACTTTGCTGGAGTGATGGAGGAGCATTTACTTTTACCCATTTATTTTAAGTGAGTGCCTGAATTTCCAGAAGGTGGCTACCTCTGAGCTCAGTTTCCCTGGGAACCAGCATAGAACAAGAAGCTTTTATTGTAGAACTCAGGTGTACTGGATAAGTTATTGTAAAAACAGAGAATTTGCAAGCAAATCTCCTCTCACACCAGTGAATCTTTGAACTAGTGATCCTTTCCCCAGATCTTGATCTCAATCCAGTGGTTGTTAGTGGCTTTCTGAGTTATAACAAATGGGGTTTGTTTGTTTTGAGGTAATGAGTATTGCTGGTGTGTGCCGCGTTTAAATAGAAGATCACAATTTCATACTATTAAAATATGCCAAAAATAGGTATTAGAGGGTACTGATTCTTCATACATGGATGAGCTGCTAGTAAAATCTGTCTGGGGGCAGAGGTGTTCGAACATTAATGGTTAAAGAAGTGCATGAGTAAGGGCAACGTGTAGCAGGGGAGGCATCAGTGAGGTGAGATACACTGGGAGACTTGACGATTCCAGCCTCCAGCTTTCAGTGTGTGGCTTCTTCACTAGTCAGTCCAGGAACTTCAGCTCCCTTGAAAAGGCACTATCTTTTTTATTTTGCTTTGACTGCATCAAGTTATTGATCTCATTCAGTGTATTACTTTTTTATTTTTTAAGCTTACAAAAAGCTTTACAAAGCTTTTTTTCTGGTCAATAAAAACACATACAGTAAAATTCACTAATGATTGGACTGTCTCAGTTGCTTTGATTTGAAATGAGGTTATATGTCAGGAATTATTCATATATGTTCCATAGGTAGTGACTTTTCATCCACACAGTTGGTGACAGTGACTCCCCACCTGCAATGTACTGCAAACTGGGCTACGTAAGATGCTCACTCCCTCAAATACGGGAAAAATATTGCTCAAAAAATAAATTCCTTTCTGTTAAGAACAGAGAGCTAACCTCATTGTCTACCCTGGTTTTGGAGATTGTGGGGGACCATGTTCGCTTTATGGCAATGTTTCAATAGTAATTCTGCTTCATATCTGAATTGGCTGTAATTTTTTCCAAAGCACAACTGACATGCCCAGCTGCTTGTTTTAAGTGCATATGATCCAAATTGCTTTATTTTACTTGCTTGTGACTGCATTTTTATACATTGAGATCACATATAATATAGAAGACTGGGTGTAAATAATGTGATAAAATTGTGCTGTAAAGGTATCACTTCATCTGGAAACACTATATGGCGATACACACTATGAACACTAAGTTCAGTGCAGTTTCCTTAACTTTTCACATGTATTTTGGGAGGACTGCCAGCTTCCTTTCTATCTGCTAACCTGGCTCCATTATGTTGCTGCAGATGATTGATCATCTTCATGTGGTGGTTAAATACAGAGGGAGAGAGGTGAAGGCTTCAGGACACTGTTTAGGAACAGGGGCTGTTTTAGAGTTAGGGGCCTGGGACATCTTTCTTCCTTCCTTATTAGAATGGCATTTCTCAGTGTTGTTCCGGATAAGGTTTATTTGTGGAAGGGGTTACTTTCCTGGGCTCCAGGCAGCAGCTAAGGTGTGATTATTTGATGCATGTGTCCTGCTCTTGTACTTCTAGCAGTGTTGCTGTACATATCTAGAAATAATGGAAATAATGCTTTAAAATTTAGTAACTTTTACCTTTATTTCCTCTTACAATTGCATTTGATTCCTTTAAACAATCCAGAACACACTGGCATGCTTTGATATGCTTTATATTGTACCTGTCTATTGTCTGAATATTCCATACTTGCTACTGTATCTGTACAAAGAGCCATTACCGGCACTGGTAAGTTTAATATTAATATATTAATATTCTGCCATTCTGTAAGTTATAAACTATTTTTAGTCTGTGTAAGATTTTCCTTATTTATTAACAACAACAATGAAGTCTTATAGGTAATGATTATTCAATCATCTCTTGGCTGAGATATCATAACTTAAGCTACTTTAAAGTGTTTTCCAAAAAGAAACTCTTTTCTTATTGGAAAATAAGAATTCTTTAACCTGAAGAAATGCCATTATTGAAGTTTGTCACCTGAAAAAATTGCAGTGAGAGATGTCATGTTCTTTTATTGATATCTGAGAATGAGAAGAAAAGATTATTCAAAGCCAAAAAAAAAAAAAAAAAAGGAATGGGAAGGGAAGGGAGAAAAAAAAAGGAGAATGCAAAGGGGCTGAGGGAATGAAAATATCACATTGCTTTTTAAACAAATGTTAGCATAGGTTTTATTTCTTAATGGTTTTGTACATTGTATTAAAATGCTTGGAAAGTTTCAACCTAGAAAGATGTGTTCTAAAAGATGGCAATATTTATTGCTTTTTCCTCTCAAGAAATTGTTTGTATTTTCATGTATCCAGCAATTTAATACTCAAACTTTCCATCCTTTTCTCAGGAATTAGACATTTTATATGTTTGTTTCCCTATGTGGTACAGGAAAAAAAGGGAATCAACTGTTCCACGAAAAGGCACAATTATCTCATTCCAGCAGCACGGCAGGAACATGGGAAGACATGTAACTTGGAATACTATCCTGCAAATTTACCACTTAGACAACGTGTAAATTTGGCAAGTCACTTAAGCACACTTTGCTTTAATTTCCATGTTCAGAAAGTAAGATTGATGATATTTTCCCATCTCTTGAGACTCTAGTATTCATATAGTTTAGAATTTCCTAAAGAGAGTTACAAATTTTTAATAAGTGCTGTGAATATATTTAAGAAAACAATCTTGAAGTTATTTCAAAATTAGTAATGTCTCACTTTTTTAAATTAATAAAGGCAAAAAGCAACAAAAAGAATAGAAATCAAAACTCAAAGCAAGATCAGATATACCAGAGTTAGTTTGATTCAACGTAGGAGAAGAGATTTTTTTTAAAATTGTTTTTTTAGAGGACATTTCCAATTTGTAAATCGCAGGTAAGACCTTAACAGAAGCAAGAACAATCATTTTGTATTGTGTTTATTCTGTGCTTAGCACAGACAGTTTGAACTTAAAACTTGGATTTCTAAGTACCAGAATAATATTTATAAAACTACAAAAATCGTATTCGTGAGAGGACACAGGGACAGTTGTGTCCTTTATGTTCTTAGTTTAGTACCTGTAATTGTGCATAGAACAATAATTCAACATTCTTATCACTTCTGGGAAAACTTTACTTTTATATGCTTGCCAAAACATACAAAATTGCTCTTTCCTCTTAATCTGAGTTTGCTATGAGATTCTGTTTGATATATTCATATCAAATTTATTCTATTTAAAACATGAAGGACTGGCAACCTAACAAAGACATTTCAAAGTATGAAAGATTTTTGCCAACATTAATGTCACTATTTCCCTGAACTACTTTATTCTTAGGGTGCATTAGAGTATCATACTATAACATAACATATAGACTAAGTTGTATTATCCTTTCATAACCTCTTGACAGAATGGTTTTTACTCTGTTCAAGCAAAACAAACCATTGGCATCATTTGTGAATTATGTTGGAAACCATAACAAAAGAGTAATTTAATTTAGAGTACTTCTGCCCACAGCAAATGCAGAAATACCCATCAGAGCGACTTTCCCTTTAAAATATTTGGCATACAGATGTCCAAGCCAAAGAGCACTGAAGACAAAAGAAGTATTTTCCCATATTTTAGGGGGTTGTAAAAAAAGACCGCTACTGAAAATAGTCTGAAATAATAGCTGTTAAATAATGGAGAAGACTGACATCTGTTACATTGAGATTAAACCCAAAACCTATTTGACTATCCTTATTCCAAAGGAAGTTTAATTGTTTGTAATATCACATTTGCATATTTAGTTATTCTCTTTAAACACAGTAAGCCCAAAACATTTTCAAGGGAATATTAATTCTGTGTTTCATAGGTATCTCAGTATTAAAACAGGCAAATAAATCTGTTCCAGTTTTTTTAAAACCCAGTTGTTTGGTACAAAATAATGGACTCAGGTGGAATACAAGTAATAGTGCTTTAATGTTTCAGTTTCCCCTATATCTGGCCAAATGGATATTTATTAAGAGAAAGCCAGATTCATTGCAAAAGTTTGTTTTGCATGTTGTTGGGTTTTGCAGAGGTACCCAAATCAGTGTAGGAAATGGCTTGTTTTTACCCCAAAGCATTGCCTCCAACTTCTATCCACACAATATTTGCGGCATGCCATGCATCATAAAAAGCAACTGCTCATTATCACCGCAGAAATTAAACAGGGAAAAACATTCTTAAGGCTACAAGTGGTTGAATTTTCCACTTTGTTTGAAAGGTTTGCAATTATGGGTTATCTAAAGTGGACTCCAAATAACAGGGCAGCTTAACATAAGGCTGGCCGCTCTGTTGCACAATTCCTTCAGATTTAGTAAGTATATAAACACCAGGCTTAGGTAGCATTTCCTGAAGAGAAAATGAAAGTCCCAAATGAAGCCTGTGCACTTTGGGTCTTTGGCCCAGACGGTGGATCGGTAGCGAGTCCACCAATGTTTCTGAACTTCCTTGCCGAACTTTGAAGAAAAAGTGTGTGCTTCTCAGCAGGTTAAAATATTTCTTCCTCAATTTGTAATAACAGGATAATTTAAAACACTGCAGAAAATGCCTGCAAAATTGGCAGGAGGAATAATGAACTAAAGCCAAATTCTGACCTGCAGGAAATGGACTCAGTTACACTGACTCCAGGGAAAGTGCATCTAATCACAGTGGGGCTACATTTGGCAATAAATCTCTGGCATTGCTTTCTGTTATAATAGTTTTGTTCTAGTTGTTAACAGGATCTGATTCATAAATTCAGGCAAAATATTTTGGATAGTTTCAAAGCTATCGGCCAAATTACTTCCTACAGTAACTCTAGTTTCATTGGAATAACAGTGAGGCTTAACCTGGGGTTTGATCTTGAATTAATGACATTCCTTGATCCTAATAAGTGAATTTAATAGCTATTTTCAGCTCTCCTCTCTTCCTGGTCCTACTCTTTGGTTCAGCTGCACTGAGAATAAACTCCAGATCATGAAGTAGTGACAAAATGAGGGGTTTTTGGTTTGATTTAATAAGAAATTATAGGTGAAATAGTCAAGGAAACCCCTTTTCTACTTTGTCAGAGAATGGGTCATGCTTCATAACAGAAAGACTATTGTATGTAAATTGTTGGCTTAAGTAAGTAAGCTTTAGTTGTTTTTATTGTTTCTATACTACAACAAGGTATTACAGTGATTTTTATATCACCTACAAGAATGTCATCTTAATAAAGCATTACATTTCAAAATGAAGTTGGGTAATCTCTCTTCCTTTTTTTAAATCCAAGTGTCGAAGATCTTTAAAAAAATAGATCTTTTGTGTTCTGTCAAAGTTTTTAAATTGCCCTAAAGGTTTGTAGGCTAAGAGGATGGAACACTGAGGTGAAGTTACATACAGATGATTGTATCATTTTATGAGAAAAGAGGGCAACAAAATATTTTTCCTGTAAATTTGCTGTGTCATGTGAATATCTTACAAATTTTTTATTTTACTTCATTTTTCATGTGCAGACTAAATTTACACTTGCCTGCACTGAATTTGCATACTGTGCGTCAAAGCAAAGTTTCTTCTGAGAGACCACTTGTAGACAGCAGGTAGTGCCCAATAAAACCCAGGGTTCCAGCCAAAGGTGATTTTCACAGGTCCCTGTATTCTTTTGTCTCTTCTACCACCTGCTCATCACTAGCCATTACAGAGGAGTTAAGTTAATGGTCTTTTCAAACATAGATCAAGGCAGAGCATCAGTTTTCTCCAGGTATTTCAGCACATAGACTGAGAACATTGACCATTACATTTCTTTTGCTGGACTCCTGCACAGTAAAATACTATTTACTGTTCAGTTGCCAAACAGTCTACCTGATGGGACACAGCACATGTGGACATGCATCAGAGACTTACCACCTGCAGTGTGTTGGTAGTTTTTTGCATTTTTGGATCCAGATGACATAAAAATGCAGTGTAATGTAAAGTAGCTTATGCTGTGTCTGTGGTTAGTGTAAATTCATGCAAACCTGCGAGCATGACAGCTGGATGGTATTCTTGCTTGTTTTGACTATCTCATTAGCATTTCAAGAGACCTACATGCTTTCAAACTTTCAACATCTGATGAGAGTCAGTTGCAAGACTTCTAACACCAAATTAAATTTAACGACAAAAGCTGATAAAAATTATGATTGTGAATTTTTTACAGTGTTCTTCCATTTTTTATTCCTTTTTTACCACTTGAGATCACCCATGCAGTCTGCATGTATTTTTTGACAAGGCTTTAGCTTTCAGCAACTCATGAATTAGTAACTTTTGGCTCTCATTTATAAAATTAAAACCCATGAAATCTGATTACTCAATATCCATACAGACCTCTCTTTGTCTGGATTAGCATTGCTTTGGCACTTGATATAAAATATAGCAGCCTACAGTGCAGTAGAAGTACCATCTGTATCAACTTATGCAATTAAGACATCTTGTCTTTAAATTTGTATATAAACTATAAACTCAACTTGCAGAACAAACCTCAAGTTTCTCTCATTGGATGAGTATCTGACAAAGCAAATCAACAATGTCTGAAAATACCTTTTGCAACTTCAACAATTTGTTAGACAAACACATGGCTGTGTAAGAAGATTAATGACAAAATTATAATGATACAAATTATGCCATATTTCTATTTCTGTTTTCTATTTCTATTTTTATGGCAGAAAAGACTTACAAACTAACTAAAAAATTTTTCTGTTGCTCTAGAATAGGTGCCTGTGAAGGCAGTCAGAATTGTAAACGTATTAACTCATACTTCATAGTAGTATACTTCATAATGTGTGTATTGACTTGACCTCAAGTAAACCTGATGTCAATCATGCAGGAAAAATTGGAGCACGATGTTATCCTACATCTAGGAGAGCAATCTGCACTTCTTTGGAGTGTATGGTTGAAAGAAAACATTTCTGACACCAAGATCCGCTCATGAAGATGTACCTCTGGACAGCCCAGCTGAAGTCTGAACTCTTCCGACCTTGTCCCCTTCCAGGTTACTTTCTGACCTTTTTGGAGCCGGTAAACAACATCACTGTGGTCCAGGGGCAAACCGCAATCCTCCACTGCAAGGTAGCAGGCAATCCCTTGCCGAATGTCCGGTGGCTAAAAAACGATGCTCCATTGGTTCAGGAGCCAAGGAGGATCATCATAAGGAAAACGGATTACGGCTCCCGTTTGCGAATCCAGGACCTCGACACCACCGACACAGGGTACTACCAGTGCGTGGCTTCCAATGGGATGAAGACCATAACGGCGACGGGAGTTTTGTTTGTAAGGCTCGGTGAGTTTGAAGCTTTTATAATCGCTCTGGCTGCTTTGTAGATTGGGTATTAGTTTTCACAATGGCACAATGAGAAATGAATTTGATGCTTTTTCAAAAAAGAAAGAAAAAATTCTCAATGGGAAAGGAAATGAGTAAAGCCACTGCCAGAGGCCTCTCTCTCCTAGTGTATGGCTTCTCGCTTGAACTTGATACCCGTTTACTGGTAATAAAAGAAAGTAAATACAGATGGAATGGTCTGTAAATGCGTAGTGCAGAAAAAAAATATAAAGAAGTGCCAGAAAAAAAGTCTGAAAAGGTAACATTTCATTGCTGAGGGGGTTCATTCTGCTACTGACTTGCCTTCTAGGCTGCCCTTCGGGGCCTTTCAAGAACTACCTATACGGTGTTTTGGAGGCTCGATTATTCAGGCTTGAAGACAGGCTTTAGTTTATTTTGTTTGGAATTGTTTCTGAAGTGGTGGGGAAAAAATTGAGGGACATTTTCCAAGGATTTCTTTTAATTTTGTGATAATAATAGTTAAGCTCTCAGTTTATTTTGTGGTGATTCATTAAGTGTGGAGTACCCTATCTTACTGCTATTATGGCAGAGGTTAAGGGCATGCTCTTGCCATATCATAAACTCCAGTAGTAAAGCTCAGGTGGATTTAATAGGGCTTAGTACAAGGTAAGTGTAAAGAGAGCATATTGTCAGGATACGCGTTGTTTTTTTAATTGTTCTTTCTAATAGGAGGAGGCGTTGTCTAACAAAAATTAAGTCCATTCCAGTTGCTGCCTGAACAGCCAGAAGTTGCATGTGATTTTTATTTGTGGCTTCAAAAATAGCAATATGCAATTATGTGCTGGAAGCCAGAGACTTTTGTTTGAGCCTTAAGGCCAGCCTTCCTTAAAGAGAGACTGTTTGCCTTGATTGCTGTTGACTTTTTTTTATGCTGCTGTCCTTGAGTCAAAGCTGTCAACAACTCGTATTTGTTTTGTGTTTGCAGGTCCAACCAACAGCCCGAATCACAACCTTCAGTAAGTACTTTTTAGAAGTTACTTAATGAATTCTAACCAATTTTGTTCTGTAGGAATTTCATTTGTAAACACAGTATACACTGTCCGTGACCACCATGTGTTTGCTAAAAATATTTGATTTGATTGAAAACTCTCAGAATGGCCCAAGCCATCTCAGACAAGGACAGCATTATGTTACAGTGGGTTTTGGTTTGATAGAAATTTCTTGAGCAACTTGTGCTTGCATATTTCATATTTTAGAGAAACAAAATACCACAAAGTCATCATGTTTGAACAGTAATCATTTGCAGGACAAGTATGAGCTGGATGACTGGTTGAAAAAGAACGAGTCAAATCCTTAGGTTGCTGCGGTTTTAAATTTACCTCTGTCATATTAATATAACTGGAAAGGTCAGATAAAATGAGACAGGGATCCTGATTTTGAGTGGTCAGTGGTGTTTTAGTGGTGACTTGGTGATTTTGGCTGCTTGTCTGGATTCACACACTGATCCAGATATACAGATGTAAATAGATCAGTCCTGTTTCATCATCATTGCTTTATATGTTAGCATTAATTTAAATTTCATGTGTTATATAATTTCTTGAGACAGATTCTGCAGTGACTCCATAGAATGAGGAGTGCCTGGGTCTCTGGTATATGTTAATTGTTTAAAATTAGCTTTGGTGGTAGAGGAATTAAAAATTAAAATTAAAATAAGAGAAAAAAGCAAATTCATAAAGATACACGGTTGTTTTTCAGAACTATCCTATTGATCACTGTTTGTGAACACCAAAGCCACTCTTAGTGGCTTGAAGGAGAAAAGAATTAGGCCAGTGATGAGTATTTATAAAAAAATACTACTCAGAAATTTCATCTACTTTGAAACATTAAGTGCTTTAGATAACGGCAGAATGATGACTCCTGTTCATTAATCTGTCCATCTCATACGTACTTTATGAAGTAGTCTCACATTTATAAAAATTAGTAACACATGGTTTACATTCCTGTATTTTCATATGCACATGTAAATAAATTTAAAGGATTTCCATATAGATTTTTATGTTTTTCTTAAAATCAATTGCTAACTAATGAGCATTTAAAAACAGCTGTGTGACAACATTAAAAAAAAAAGTAAGCGTTTTTGTAACGACTGACATCCTTTTTATGGTCTTACAGCACTTTACTAACTTTACTAACTGTTACTCACCTGCTCAACAAAGAGAGTCAGATATTAGAATGCCGTCTGTTTTTTAACAAGGTCAGAAAGTGGGAACTGGTACAAAAGGAAGGAAACTAAAATATGCACAGTGAAGCATTTGGCTGCAGATGAGAGCACACAGTCCTCGACTGCAGTGGAAGAGTAGTTAGTAAGTTGTGCGCGCAAGGCAACTCTAGTCACTGAGTGCCTAGTCCCTTTGATTCCCTTTGTGTTTCCCTCATATATATTTCCCAACCTTTTCTGATGCACCAAAAATTACTTTATTAATATTTATAAGTATAATGTAAGTAAAAAAAAAATCTGATTAATAAAATGAAGAAAAAAGTTATTTCTTTATTGCATACACTTAGAAAGAGGAAGTGAATTAAAGTTTTAGAGAGATCTTTATTCCTGGCTTTTCTTACCTTTGGCTTGACAAAGCAACCTTTAGCTTATTGGAAATATATATTAAAATAAAGCAAGAAAGAGCTAGAAAAAATCATATCAAAATCATATGTGGGAAAAAAAAAAAAAAGATGCATGTGTCCTTTGGGTCTGAAGCTGGTTTGGGATAATTGTACCTTTAAGATCATGTTGTACCACTTTTATCACTAGTGTAACTGGAGGCAGCGGAAAGCTGTGCTGTGATCTTTTTTGGAACGGCTATTAAAAGATGAAATGAAGAATACCCTCACTATGAGAGACTGAAAGGAAATCTTAAACTTGAGAAAAACATGGTTAGGTCTGAGTTCCAGTGAGTAGTCCTCCAGGATTTAGAATGTCAAGATGTCAAGGGTTATGGGTCTTTCTACCAGTTTTAATCCCTACTCCTCTTACGATTTTCTTGCTTATTCCTACTTACCTGGGTTTTGTCCACCCTTCCTAAATTCCTGCCCTTCCTTCTGATGCTCTTTCTTGCATTTTCACCGTTTCCATGCCTCACAGTTGCTGTTTTCACCTTCCTCTGCTCCTGCCTACCTTGCCACAAGCTACTGTCACTTGGCAGTGGAGGCTTGGTTTGGTTTTATGCTTTTCTAATGAATATTTTGTGTTAAATGCTGCAGGTCAAATTGTAAGCTTGAAAAGAGGACTGGAGTTTGTAGAGGCTAGCAGGAGCGGAGGAACGGCAGGGAACAAAGGGCTCTTTCTCGGCTCCGCGCGCCGAACCACCCCAGTGCTGTTTCTCTTGGCATTAGTGTTTCCCCAAAAGATACGCTCCAGTTCAAGCACTGAAACCTGAAACCACTGTATCTTAGCTTTAAACTATATCTAATGAATTATTAAGGGATAAGAAACCTTTGCTTGTACAGATACCATCTCGTGAGGCATTTTTATGTAGTCCATGTGTTCAGCTGTGCGTTTCTTAGGAGTCATATAGCAATTAAGGATTGATGTAGTTCAAATGCCACATGACACAGTCCAATTTGCCAGTGCAGAAAAAAGGCCATGACTTTCAGATAATGAGACTGGGACATTTCCATAAAAATCTTAAAATAAAAACTTAAAGCCAGGTATGTAGTATTAAACTGGGATGCACTTGGTAGGGGATGTCTTCTTTTGAGGTCTGCATTTGTAGAAATCTCTAGAGATTTTTCTATCAAAATGGAAAAATACAAACCAATCCAAGTTACTTCAGTTATCAAAGTATTAAAATCTTTGACAGCATTACAAGCTAGAGCAAACTGAGTTACAGAGCAAAGGAAATGAAAACACAGTCACAAAACTAAGCATTACTAATAAGTTGAATTCTTTCTCTCACTGCATAGTAGCTTAACAGTTTATATCATTAACCCTCCCATGTTGTTTTTCTAAAGTGGCAAGCTGGCCATTCGAAAAGATATAAAAGTGTACAAATAAAATACCGGGGAAGCAAATATCTGAGAACGGTATTTAACATAATTTAATATTGATAGATGTTACTGTCTGGAGTAGGAGGGCAGAAACAGCTGCTTTTCCTTCCAAAAGTACTGTTCCTGCAAGATGATTTTATTCTAAAAGACTAAGTGTCCCCTACTCTAATCTATTTTGCTCTTGTATTGAACTGTGGGATTGAATCCCCCCCACCTTGTGCAACTTCCTGACTGGAAGTGGTGGCTGGCATTCTCGTTAAAACTCCGTCACCGTAGTGAGGCCACCTTGAAGGGGACTTGGCTTGAAAGACACCTCAAAGTTTCCTGCTCTAGGGCTTGTGGAAAATCTGATGTGTCTTTTAGAATGAATGAGGTAGCACCAACAGAAGAAGTTATGAAGTAAGACCTTGCGAAGTGCAGCTAAAGAGAAGCCTCTCTGTTAGCGTGGTGTCCGTTTCCCCGATGGGCCTTTCTGCTGTCTAGTAGGGTGGATGCTGGAAAGTGAACATCTCCCTCCAGAGCCCTGTGTCTGGCTATTGAAGAACTGACATGGATGAACTATGAGAAATCCCTGTGTTTTCAAGCCCTGACTAATACCTGTTTTGAGCTAATTCACTAATACCAGTATGCTGAATCCTCAGAAATAGAAATAGGTGGGAAGAAACACCTTAGTCATAGCAAAAGTCACTGAGGTTTTGGATGGGAATTTTTTGTTTTGTCAGCCATTCAGAACGAATCTGCATCCTCCCATCCCTTGGTTTATTCAGGTAGTTTGGGGCAACAGTAGATATTTTAAAATTCAGCCCATTGAATAAAAGTAGTGACAGGACTGGAAATTAATAAAAGCAGTTCTTTCAAAGAGAGTGGTATCTTTAAAAAGCAAGTAGCATCTCAGAGGTGAAACACTGGTGAAGAACCCCTAGACTGGCGTAGGCAATCATCTGCCCCATCACGCTCATCACATGGCCAAAGACACCTCTCCTTTGAGCCCAACAGTGGAGTTGCAAATGACATGACAGGTGCTTCTGTGGCCCTATGATGGGGACAGGTACATTTTCATCACGTGACAAATGTCCATGTGAGGAAACAAGGGAGTGAGTCATCTAAGCTCTTCACCCCAAAGCTCCCTTCCCTCTCACATCTGAGGGACTTTCAAGAAAAAAGCAGTAACTGAGAGAGAACTTAAAAGTTTTTTGAGAGGTGGATCTGGCTGCAAAAGTGAACGTACCCAACATTGCATTAAAATCAATCGTCATTGCATTAAAATCAACATTGCCTTCATTCAGCAGCACAGGCCATGTTTTCTTCACGTCCTTAGATGATGTAAATGCTCTCTTTGACTTTCAATACAGTTCAGCCACTGATTATGATGTTTTCAGGATTATACAAAGTTCTCTTAAAATTCACAGGCACAAATATTTTAAAACCAGAGCAACAAAGTTCTGCCAATTCAGAAGTTCCTTCTTTCTATTCATGTCCATAAGGATGAGGTGTTCAAAGGTGATGCTCCTGCAGAACCACATGTTCACCATTTGTTTCATCAAACCATTCCTTTGGCTGAGGTGACCATATTTGAAGTGGATATATTTTTTTTCAAAGATATCTGTGGTAACATTTTGTACTTATAGAATAAGCACATACTTTGTATTCTGGTTTCCAGCTTTAATCAAGGAAGGAGTATTTTGTGAATAAAATGCTGGTCTGTGATTTTGGAGATCTGGATGCACTTTCTGGCTATGCCCCTGTTTCCATGTGCGATTAGGGCAAGCTATTTAACCTTTGTTTCTCTGTTTTTTCTCGTAAATGGAGATGGCTGGTCTCAGGAATCTCTTTGCCTTCCCCTGGTGTGGGATCAGATCATTTAAAAACGTTTAATGTATCTTCCTATTTTACAAACGAGCAACTGCAGCACAGATAACCTGAAGCTGTTCTATGTTAAACAGCATTTCTTCAACTTTGATTTTCCACCTTA